CGTTTTAATGTATTTATTTACTTTTATTTACCTTCACAATCTGTTTTATAGATATAGAGAAATATGATAGAATTGATATTACTCCAAAGAGTTAAGCAATATATTGCAATTTTACTTGTTATTTAATAAATTTGTTACAGACCAATTTTCAATGCCTTGATACAATCAGACTTGGCTTAAACTAACTAAAGATCATCCCTTAATCAAAAACGTATCATAAAATTAATTTGAAAGACAATTTGCATTATCTATCAGACGCTAAATTTATTAATATATTTCATTATTTAATCAGCAACTGTAATTCAGCTGCAGGCAACAAACACTTCCAACTAATCATATATTTGCATTAGTGAAAGAGTAGGCAAAGTAGTCCACTTGGAGTAACCAAGCAGAAAGTGCTAACAGGCCTCGGGTATATAGTAATCTTTGCACTGATGGAATGTAATTGCTTAATACTCTATATTATTCAAATTGAACTACAGATGTTTATATGCACTATTAACCTGACATGCCCAAAGTGAAATGTAAATGTAGACAGAGGCTGCCAAGTCCGTGATGACAACAAAATACGTTAAATGACACATTTTATACAAAATTGATAAAAGTAAAAAGATCAAACAAAACTCGAATAGTAGATACCCTGAAGCCAGTTTTTAAAACACAGTATTGTTAAAATTAGTTTGTTTAATATGCAACTACGTTTTTGTTGACTAAATTTGGGTTATTTATTTATCTTAATTACAATTTAAGAGCTCATTTTATTGTTATTATTATTATTATTATTTTTGCTTATTGCTTTCGGAAATCAATCTATATCGATAATAGCGAAACGGGTGAAATTATCGACAAAATGATATAATAATTAATGTGTTATACGAGAAGGGCCTGTACATAATTTGGCACAATTGCAAATCAGCTTCTACAACCTCACCCATTTTTAATGGGTTAATGGTACAAAGAGCTTTAAAAGATGAACTTATTTATGAACTTATGTTGAGCATAAATAGTTGAGTAAATTCGATGCCGATTCTATGCAACATTTCTTGTTGGAGAAAATATCCCACCATATTTAGACAACGACTTTGATCCACCGAGTATAACTGATAGTTAAGATACGATATACGTTATATGTTCGGTTTATTTAGGGTATACAGGTGCAGGGTATCTGCTAGTCGAACTGACCAACTAAAAAACTTAAACTTCCTGATATAAGCTAATGAGGGACATACTCTGAACAAATTGATGATGCCCGCAGCAGATAAGAAGCCCCCTGTCCCATCTATCCCTTACTTCGCCATACATACCACTTGCAGGACATTTATTGACCGACATATATAAGATGCATAACAATGGCTTTGCGATAGCTGCTGGCGTTGGCGTTTAACTTGGACGTGTATAAATCATAAAAGGCCACATCATCTCCTTAAGCCTGCCAACAACACAAAATACAAAGCAAAATATACGCATCCAGACATTGACAGGCAAACTACAATATAAGCGATATCCTCGTCAGCCTAACGGGGAGCACTTTGCTAATGAAGACCCTAGATAGATACACAAAGAGAGAGAGAGAGAGAGAGAGAGAGAGGCTGATGTATGCAAAATAATTGGCAAGTAACACTGCCGGTCTCAGTGAGAGCCCCTTGATTGGCATTCCAGTCAGCGATTCTAAGCCGCAGAAATATACGTGGGGATTAAGTGTAAAAAGTTTTAATCTTAAATCAACCAGACGACAGCAAATGTTCACAAGCAATTTCTTGTGCTAAGCAAATATTTACCCAATAAATTCCATTAAAACTAACAATTGGTTTACTTTTTGGCTTAAATGACTACCCAATATAAGCAGCAAGCAGCCTGACTGACACTAAAGGCATGCCAGCAACTTTTAACTTGGCTACGTAGTTTTTCCTGCGGTGACAAAAACCCAGCAACAACATTAGTCGCAGTAGCAGCCGCAGTTCCAACCGCAGCCGCAGCCGCAGCCGCATCGAGTAAATGAAGAAAGAAACAAAAAAAAGGAACTTAAGCAAAATATAAGCATTTGTCTGTTGGGCGGAATGGTAGGGGCGGGGCGTGGCAGGGCAGGGCAGGGCGGGGCGAGTCGTGACGATGCACGACAAGGATAAAACAGGGCGACTGAATAAAAATAAATAAACACTTTGCTTCTGCTGCTGTTGCTGCTGCTGCTGCTGCTGCTACTGCTGCTGCTGCTCCGGCTGAGGTTGTGGGTGGCGTGTGTGAAGACCTCGGGTGAAAAAAGTTGTTGCCAATTGAGCCAAAAGCAAGACACAAAAGGCCTGGTTGGCCAAAAACACATAAAAATATAAAAGAAAAGAAAAGAAAAGAAAAGAACACCTTAAAAAGTAATATAAAGCGACCAGCAATTTATTCCAGCTGAACGCGCCTTTATTTATCTAAAAAGTAGTAAGGTGAACTTAACAAGCAAGTGTGCCCGGGAAGTGGCTGCTCAACTATCAGACACCCTGTACCCATCCACCATACCCCATCCCCCAGCCCCCTTACACTGTCACACACATACATATACTGTGCATACACCTTTATCTGCAGGGGTATTATATTTTTGGCAATTGCTCTTTCCTCTACTTGAGTATTTTTAATGAATGCTGAGTATCCAGGTTCGAGCACGTCAATTCGAATTAAATAAGATTTTATTTAAAACTAGATGTACATTTTAGCAAATAGTTCGAAACACTTAGCATTTCTGCTAACGGTAATATATTAAACAACTTTCAGAGCCAGCTTCAGGCAATGAAATTAAAATCAATAAAAGATTCAACTTATCTCAAACAATCTATGAATGTACTTTAGATCTGGGTTATCCTTGAGATTCTGGTTCACAATGGTGGATACAGAGCTAAGCTTGTAAGGCGTGCCTGGTCAGCACAACGAGGTCATAATATCAGCGGAGGAGTGGTCACAGCTGATGACAAATAAAAGAGCTGACTCTATACGAAATTAATTCCGCTTTCTTTTGGCGAATTATTAAAGCGAAAGGTTTTGCTTATCCCTTCTTAATTCCAAGATAAAATTCTTCAATAAATTAAAATATTTTTACTTTTTTCTTAAATTACACAGCATTTGCTTTTATTATTATAAGTTCTAGGGTGTTAACTTTTGTCTTAATTAAGTCCTTTAAAAAAATAAAAATAAAACATTTGAGACGAAAGTCGAAAGGGAAAATATTAGAAAGTGTGTTACAAACAAAAAAATGGGTTTGCATTTCTGTTAAATATCTTAAAAACAGAAAACATTTTATGAAATAGTGAAAAACAAGTGAGAACGTTGATACCATAAGTAATATCACCTGGTAACAGGTGGCACAGAACAAGTTGAGTGTTGCCAAGAGTTGGAAGTTTCCTCCCTCCTTCCTAGTTTGGTAACTGTGACTGTGAATTTTGGGGGCGTGAGTAAGCGTGACTTTAAAAAAATGTGGAAAGAGTTTCATACCGCCTTGGGGAACGATCTTAGTAATCTACTTTCTAAGTTTGCTAACCATAGTTCTTAAATTGTCGGAGATGTAGGCTTTTATCGTTTTTGGAAGCGGTAGCCAGCGTGGTCCAACATTTTTTGCGGCTTTTCTATTTTTTGTGAGAGATATGAGACCTTAACGATTAACGGGATTATCGATTCTAGCCCCTTCGTGGACGTAGCATTCCAATTTTTACACTTTGGCTGACATATGTCGATGACGTCTACTCGAAGGCGTTGCAAATTTGAAAACAAATCATAATCCCCTCGACAAGTACATAAACTATAGCAGATTTACCAAAACATTTCAGGATCAAGTCATTTGCGAGCATATCCCACTCAAATGCCAAGTGCTCAATGGAATGCAGCACATTCACTATCTACACTGCATTGGCCTTGAGCCATCGGCTGAGTAATGCTTTCGGAGACGAGTTTGCGGATAAATGTTCGGTGGCACTCTGCTCTGATTGTCCGATAGCTGTAAAGTCTGGCAAAACTTGCCGCTAGCTGGGCGATTGCCTACGCCAAGAATGGCGCTACTGTGGCACACTGCCAGTGCTCCTTTGGCGCCGTCATGCCGCACAATGTGGCCAAATCAATCTTGCTAGCTACGTGGATTGTAATTATTCTTAGTACGTAACTTTTTCTCAAAAGGAGTAAGTTAAACTTCCCCTTTGTGAAGCATGCCAAGATATTAAGCTTGAAGAAGATTGTGCGTGTTCATATCACAATTTGTAATCAAACTTGATCAGAGCAGATTCCCGGCACCCCTCGTCTCTAAAGTCTCTAAAGAAGATAATGATTACGATTTTATGAACGCAGGTTGCTGTTTGCTATAATATCGATGTAAGCGTTTTAAGTAAAATTGACTCCTTAAGTTGTTATTAGCTTTTGCGGCAACTGCTGCCAAACTGCTGCTGATGTATTATTAACGCTTTTACGCGCGCTTAAGTCACTCATCATCGTTTAATTGGCGCCCACAAAGCCGACACACACACACACACAAACGGACACACACACACACACAGATACAAGCACTAAGAAATTGGCAGCGGAGTCTGCGACTCGGCAGCAAGCCAAAATGATAAATTGTTCGAGTACAGCTAACCTTTTTGCAGTTGCGGCTATTAATGTTTGGTAAGAGAATTTGAAAGAGTAAAAAAAAAACTCATATATTAAGAGTTAATTAATGTTGCTTATGTCGAATTTTTCAATCTATCAACAGTTCTTAAGAAATGAATATGCATTGAACCGATCGAACGAACCTCGAAACAGATAAGTTAATTCCTCAATGGAATTTTCGAAATCAATAAATCTGTTTTCAACACTTTTCCGCCGAGTTCTTAAACGAGGCTTGGAATAAATACATATTATAGACGACTCAAGTTCAATTTGCAGAAAGAACATGAATGTTTTTTCGCAGATTTCCGCCTATTTGTTTGGATATATATTTATTGTATAAAGGACCTTTATTAATTTAACATTGATTTGCTGACTTTGCTTTGTTTCAGGTCTCTTGGGTGCGCCATCGAGATATACATCTTCTGACTGTGGGTCGCTATACGTATACATCAGATCAGCGTTTTGAGGCAATGCACTCGCCTCATGCCGAGGATTGGACACTGCGCATCCGTTATGCTCAGCGCAAGGATTCGGGTATTTATGAGTGTCAGATCTCTACGACTCCGCCAATTGGTCACCCTGTCTACTTGAATATTGTGGGTGAGTATCAATTAACCTGCGGGTGTGGCAACACACACACATATATATATTTATATATATATATATATATATATATATATATATGTATATATATAGGTCGGGTAAAGCCTCTTAGCTGGGGGTTGCTGTCATTTCCCATCTGGACGCTTTTACTATTTGGCTACGGCTACGTGTGACTGATTTGCCAGGCACTTTTCTGTGTGTGGACTCTGTCTGACATCCAATCTGGCAGAAGTCGAAAGCAGGAAGTGTTGCTCGAAAGGAGCATCCGCAAAAAAAAGCTGACCACTTGACCGTATCTATATCTTGGATCTAGCTCACTGTGTGTGCCAGTGAGTATCTCTGGGTGTCTCTGGGTGTCTCTGGGTATCTGGGTGTGTGTGTGTGTGTGTGCGTGGACCTCAACCTACCTCTAAAGTGTTGTTGCTGTTGTTGTTGTTGCAATGTTTGTGTCGTTTTATGGCAGCTTTTTGCTGTTTGATGATTCCCCTGGGCACCATTTGCACTTTATGGCTTTTCACAGACCGACAACGATGCCGTCGTCGCCGTCGCCTCCTCCTTTTGACGACACCCACGAAGGAGCGTGAGTCTTGGGATTTTTTTTTAGCGTTTTCAACTTGGGGCGCTCTTGGATGCTGTGCCTTTTAAGCTTGAGGTGTCGCTGCCGGGTCGGCGGCTGCTAGCGGTAGATGCCCCGTATCATAAATTACAAGTTGTGCATTTTGTGGCTATAAAAACCAAAACAACACGTACTTATGCTCTACTCAAGTCAACTCAAGTCGATTCGAGTCGAGTCAAGTCAAGTCAAGAGTGTTGCTACACACTGTGGCATGTCCGTCTTAAATGAATTCTACTTAATTCGAAAATAGTATCATTTTAATGCTTCATGGTGCTGCGTATAATTTTATTTCATTTTATTTTACATTTTATTTTGTGGTTGATGCCCAAATTGCTGTTTAAATATTTTCACTCACAGTTTTAAAAGTGCGTTTATTTCTTTTCGTCTTTTCATCTTTTTAATGAACAGCAAAACATTTATTTAAATGCCCTTTCTCTCTAGAGCCTCCAATGCATTGTCTTTCTCTCTGTTCATTGTCCGACTCAGTCTTAATTCTTGGTAACCATAACATTTTTACATAGTTGATGAATAACAAAAAGTTTTCACAATAGTTATTCACTCATTTTTTTTTTTGTATATTCAGAGAGGTAAAGTCAATTAAATGCATTTTTCAACAGTTTTTTTTTTAAGAGGGAGTGGGAGAGAGACAGAGAGAAATGTATATATATTTATAGAGAGAGAGAGAGAGAGAGAGAGAGAGAGAGAGAGAGCGAGAGCGAGATAAAGAAAGAGCAATTGAGAAGAATTGGCAACACAAATAATGCAAAGATGTTTATTTGTATTTTCCACTGTACCAATATTTGAGTAGTAATCAACACAGAAATACTAACATACTAACATACTAACATACACACATACATGGATGTTATGCTCAAATTTATATGCACTTGGCAAATACATTTGTATGCTTGCATGTATGTATGTATGTACATCTAGAGAAGTACAGAATTGTAAGTTAACAAGGACGAGGCGAGGAAAGTCGAGCCAGCTGTCGAGAGTGAAACAGACTATAAACATAAACCAAACCATTATTATAATGTCAACACAAACACACACATAATTCAACTTTTAACACTTCGCTGAGGCGTTTGGCAGGCTGACATGAAACTAGAAGGGGCGTGGTCTTGCCTCAAATCACGTACAAACACATTTGCGGTTGTTTGCATGTTGGTTCCCCGTCTGCAAAATGGAAGCTGCTGCTGTCATGTGTTGTGTGTGTGCATATCCATACACTCAAAAAAAAAAAAAAAAAAAAAATGACAATGACAATCGCCATAAAATATAAAACATATGTTTTTAGAAATAATTTTAAAATATTTGGAAAAATATTTTAAAAATTTAGAAGGGCTTGCCCCAAATCGACAATATCAAAATTATAACGTATTTTTCTATTTCTTAGATATATTTTCTATTATTAAGGAAAACATTTTTAAATAATAGCAATGCAACCTAGTTTTTAGAAAAATCCTTTCTAAAATACAGAAACAAGCAATGATATTTACTGGCTAGGGTTTTATATTAGTATTTAGCAGTCGTCTGCATTCCAGAATAGCTCAGTGTGAATTATCTCAACTCGCGATCCAGGCGTGTAACGGGTCCAAATACCCGTGAAATTTTTCCCGTTTTTTTTTCAAATTATTATGAACATACAAGTGCTTATTATTAATAATATATACATGTATAATAGAATAAATTGTAAACAACATCCTGGAAATTATACATCATTTTTCCACATTTCAGAAAAATCCACACCGAAATTTAGAAATGCAAACCGTAGTTTTTAGAAGACCACAAACGTAAATTGTAGAAATTGCTGCCAAAAATACGGCATTTTAGGGCTACTTTCTTAGTGTACTGCTAGTTTGTGTGTGTGTATGTGTGTGTGTGTGTGTGTGTGTGTGTGTGGCATAACTGTTCAACAAGCAAGAGGAGTACATTGCAGCTTAAGCATGCATATGTGTATGTATATGAATACTGTACATATGGTCGGTGGGATTGTGTGTCTTTGTTTGTATTAGTAACTGCATGGTTCACGCTGTCTGTGAACTCGTCTGTTCGTCTGTTCGTCCGCTCGTCCGCTCGTCTGCCCGACTTTGTCGCGCACAATAGCAACAACAAATGCGATGTTCGTTGACTTATCGGGCAGCGGCGTGGAGTGGAGTGGAATGTCCCAGTAGGGACATGGGTGTTTTCAGCTTTTGTCAGGCTCGTCGCGACATTGATAAGAAACATTACGGACGATGGGGGCAAGCGGCAAGGAGCAGGCTCACAGAACCACTTGGTGTGCGGTGGGGGGGGGGAGGGTATCGGGGGGTTTGGGGAGTAGCAAAAGGGATATGCCGACGCTGTGCAAATCTAGACAATTTCATGGCCACTCCACCGAAACAGAGAAAAAAGAAACAGAAATCGAAACTGAAACTGAAACTGAAACCAAAGGCGAAACAGATACCAAAATAAGCGAAGATTCCCAAAGGTCTTAAGCGAAATGGGACAAGTGACGTGGCACATGAAAGAGATGCTAGAAACTAGTTAGGACAGTTACCCAGTTACATAACGAATATGCAGATGAAGGCTAGTGCGGGAGTTATACTCGCACACTACACACATTACCGCACAACAACATACAACACACATAAACATATTACTTTATGTAGTTGTGCGTGAAAGGCGCTTAGGCGCAAAGAACAAACAAAAAAGCACAAAAACAAAATATAAACGAAACACATCTCTGTGGCTTGAGTCCAAAAAAAAAAAAAAGAGCAGAGTGCGTTGATTACTCTAACGAGAAACAACATACTCATATACATATGCACATATATCACATTTCTGCTGCAGACATCGCAGACATCGCAGACATCTAAAGTGCTCATACCAAATCTAAGCCAAGGGTGCTTCTCAACTCTCAGGGCACAGCCAAAATTAAAACCACCGGAGCTTGATGAAAGGGCACGTCAATGTCGACAAAATGTTGCCTACATCATTTTTTTTTTTTTTCATCATTTTCTATTTATAAAGGCTGTAACACATTTCACAGGAATAACATAATTTGGACTTAATAACAAGTCTTTAACAACTTCATTTAAATCATTTTACAAACTATTTTTTTTTTTAATATTATTTTTCAGCAATAAATTAACAAATTAATATAATAAAAAGTTTTATACCCATTAAAAATGGGTATCAGAGGTATAATGGTTTTCTGCAAAAAGTATGTAACAGGCAGAAGGAAGCATCTCCGGTATAAACTACGCTTGTCCAGTTTCGCGTATGCAGATCGATATAAACCCCACTCTTAAGGTCTTCCAGTTGAAATTTGGCAGTAAAACTATAACGTGTTAATAGTTAATAACTTAATATATTTAATAGATAGGCTTAGGGTGTCGCGTAGTCAAGCACTCTTTACTTCAGCACTCTTAGTTGTTTGTCAATATTGCAATTTAATTTGTAAATAACTTGTTTATTATTTTTTAAGTGCACCCGAACATAACAAATTTTCTTTCTTTTGATAGTAGATAATGTCACACGAATAATAAAAGCAAATTATGATTGCCACATGAACTGCCCACTTCACACTGTCCATTGCCACCACCAGTTTTTCTACTTGTTGGGGCTTTGAGACAAAAATGCATCAGAGTACATATTTGCAAGCTGCCACACAAAGCTCAATTGGCAATGCAATTTACATAATCAATTTAAACATGATAATGGAAATTTGTTCTTCACCTCATATTCATATTTGAATGCTAGAGTGAACTTTTAATTCAATTACTATTTATTTAATTTATGCGTGCATATATACAAATATTTATTAATGTACGCAAGCATTTGTATGTGAATGCATTGTGTTTGCCAATAAAAAAAATTAATGCATTTTTAATGCTTTTCGAATCGTTGTCAATTACAGATTCCACATAGTCGATGGGCTTTTACGCTCTAGTTTGAAACGAAAAAAAAGTGTTTTCAATTGAATCGCTCTCGATTTTAGAGCTAAGGTAACGAAGTAGAGTATTTCATAGTCGGGAGCAGCTGAAGTGGTATTTTTTGCTCTCAGTCAATATCAAAGCTAAAGTTCATCAATATATGCGACTGCTGAAATGCGAGTTGTTCGGTTGTTGTACTGCTCTTTGCTCCATCAGATAATCAGGACCATTTTACAGTTGACATGCAGAAATTTGTGGCACAAATGAATCGATGGTTCAAAGTCTGACAGCGACCAATAATCTCTTTAGGAGACAATTTTCCCTCCACAAAGACACATTACACATCGTTTGCCTTGTCAATTGCAAAGGTTGCCAAAGGCAGTCGAGTAAGAGAGTATGTAATATTTACAATATCCGTCCGGTTGTCTGTTTGCAACATTTGAATTAAAGCACGCGAAACACCCGCGCTCCTGCTTCCACAAGATTGCGCTTTAGAAATCCTGAATTTCTAGCTATAATTGGAATAAGAAATTTGACAGCTCATTGGTCAGCCTTAATTTATTTCACAACTAAATCGTACCTCGGTTGACGTACTCATGACTTTTTATAGTTTATTAATTAAATTAAAATTTTGATGGTTTTTACTCCGGTTTACTTTTCAGCTGAATGAAAAATGTGTATTTTTAGCATTAATCTTGTCTTGCAGTCAAAAGATTTCATCAGTGGATTGACGAACCCCCATTCTTTGTCAAGCATTTTTTAATTTGAAAGCATATTTCTGCACGCCATCAAAGAAACTACTCTAATTAATTGTCCGGTGCCAAGTCTTGGATAATTATGCAGTTTTCTCATATGCATGTCGTCCAAATATTTTACATATGTGACGGTAAGCCAAATACCATCAAAGTTAATTAATTTAAGAGGCAAACAAGCAAAAGCCAAAGTATATACTCTTCCTTAACAGTTCCTTCGCCTTCTAGCTGGTCTTAATGTGTCATCCAGAAATTTATTGATAGATCTGGGATTTATGCAATATAAACATACATTTGATATCATATTTAATGTATTTAGCTCTGAAATCGAAAGCCAGATTGATATTGATGATTATCGGAAATATTTTTACTGGAACAAAAGGATGATCTAAGCAACAAATGCATAAGCAATCAGCTTATTTTCGGGTAATGACAATAAGCCCCACGCTGACGCAACCAAATTAAGAGAAAAGGGGTCATCAATTCAGCTATTCATGGGATACAAACAGTTGCTGGGCCCAAAGATGAATGCGGGTATTTCCTCTATGAATGTGCGTATGTAGAATTGTGAATTTTTGGTGCGGCGCCGCATGAATGGCATAAATAATAAACCTGATGCATGCTACTCCATCAGGAGAGATACGCACACACACACACAGACATAATCGAAGCGCGTTTGATGGTTGGCAACTGGTCCCACGTGTGGTATGCGCAATGCTTGTTTGATATTAACTCCCTGACATTTCGGGCGTTGCTTTGAGTGTGTGTGTGTGCGCCTGCGAGTGTTTGTGTGTGTACTATCACTCGAGAGCCCGCAGGATAAACCATTCCTATTTGACTTTGGCTTAGACTTTGGGTTTGTTTTCCCATTGGTTTTTCGCTTAGGCCGTGTGCGTTTCAGCCACCATCCCACCGTTTGCTGCCTTTGCCTTTTGTTTTATATTTTGCCTGGGCAAACGAGACTTCTCTTTCAAGCCCCTCCCCCACACATCACCACGCCTCCTTGCTCTTTTGCTGGCAAATGTAGCGGAAGCTTACAAAGACCGAACATTGAAATCAATAAATTAAATTGTGGTAAACTTTCAATTTGCCTAAGATGAAAACGAAAGCAGTACTCGGAATACATAATTACAGACACATAGAATGGGAAAGCGATACATATTTTGAACACGCTTATAACAAATCATGCTGTTGACATTATTTAAAGTGTAGTGTTTCATTGATGATACTTTGTTAGATTCTTTTTTTCCGTTTAAATCCCTTAACGAAACGCTTGAAAATCCTCATTTTCTTTCGTGGCTAGGAGTATTCCTCAAATACGACGAAAGTAGGGGTTTGTCGTGGGCAAAGGACACCTTGCATCTCTCAATATTTTACACAGACTAACGTTTTTATACTTATCTGTCACCTATCACCTCTCTCCCAATGCAGAGCCCATCACTGACATCATTGGCGGTCCTGAGCTGCACATCAATATGGGATCCACCATCAATTTGACTTGTACTGTTAAATTTGCACCGGAACCACCACCAGCCGTCGTCTGGTCGCACAATCGAGAGGTGAGTACTTTGTTATCTACACACAACCAAAGCATTCTTCTGTTTTATCCTGAGAAATCAATGAAGGTTTCTAGATTGCATAACTTTATTAAGGCCAACCCGCTTATCATGCTTAGGTATTTATAGGGCATAGTTTGTCCGCCAGTTTCTTTTTAGATCAAGGGAAGGTTGAAGTTTAAATAACTTTGTCATAGCTGAACCGAATTTCAAGCTTAGAATTATTTAAAACATAATACGACCTACAGTATAAGTATTTATTTTTGCTCTCGTAATGGGCAACCACTTCAGTAAATTGTAACATTATGCGAAAGTTACGACACTTGGGAATTAATTTTGATATGGTCGTTTCAATAAGGGTATCCCTACATGTCAAAATTAGTAAATCCTGCTCATAATATGTGCGCTCTTAAATAGTGTACGTAAATAACATGTTGGGTCTGGCCAATGTTTATTGGTACTGATGAAAAAAACAACAAAAAAAAGAAGAAAAAAACAGCTAGCTAGACTAGCTGGACTCAAATAGTATCATTAATAAAAATTTAACTAACAAACTCATGGGGCCGTAAGCTGCCGCCGCAGGGATAGAGACACTAGATATATATAAGTATATGTATATTTTTTTTTATGTATGGACGAAAACAGTTCGCTGGGAAATAGCAGAGAATCTGCTTTGGCATTGGCTCTGGCACTAAGCTGTTAGCTGTTTGTTTACTTTTGTCTAACGCTGGTTCTGTTATTCATTTCAGCTCATAAATTTCGATTCACCTCGCGGCGGCATATCATTAGTCACTGAGAAAGGTGTGCTGACCAGCAGTCGGCTCCTGGTACAAAAGGCCATCCAACAGGACTCCGGACTCTATACATGTTCACCATCCAATGCCAACCCGACGTCGGTGCGCGTGCACATCGTCGATGGTGAGTAGCCCGGTATGCAAAACCCTCGTTTCCATATTCAACCTTCCTTCATATTGCCGGAGCTTGGAACGTTGTGCGAGCAGAGAGCGCTTTAATCGTGGGTGGTGTGGGATAGCTGGCTGGCTGGCTGAGAAGTCGTCATCGGCGTGGTCAGTGGCAAGACAAATGTGCGACGCCCAAAAGCCAACTAAGCTTATTTGACTTACTTTGACAGACGACCGCGGCTGTGATTGACGACAACTTGCTTACTGCGGTGCTCTGCTCTCAAATCCAAATGCTACCCATTTAATTCAAGCTTGACCAAAAATTAACGGACGGACAGCTGGGCGTATGCGCAATATCCCTATCACTTGTGTGGCATTTCCTAGGACTTGCGTGGCATATATATACATCCATATATATAAATATACATATACGTCTATATATAGATATATTTATTTTTGTACTTCACATTGATTTTTGACAAATCAAAAGAAATCTAGTGCAATCGAACTTGCTATTTAAATATATACTTTAATTGATCGTTATTTCTATGGCAGCACAATACTTATTTGTAAACATATATCAGAAAAATATTGATCTGAGCTTGGACATAGTAGATAATGAATTTATATACATGTATATCTAACAATATTTGTTTTCACTTCACAATTTCAAAGAAGACTTTTTTGACCCATTAATTAATTTGAATTACGACGATTAGTGATTTTATTCGACCAACTCATGCAAAGCAAGATTCATAAATACATATAGCCATAAGTAGAGTTGTTTGTTAATGCTAGTTGCTTTGTGCAAACGTAATATACCCTGTGTACTTAATATTAGGGCATAAAAGCGGTTAATTCACGGAAATTCCGCCACTGGCATTTCAATAGTTTCAATTAAAGCAGTCATTCTGATGCCCAACTTTGTGACACTGTGTTGATTAGTGGCAGAGATATTCACACATTTGCCAAAGTCGTAAAAAATTAGTTTTTAGCAACTTTGGGCATCAACATTTTCGTAAGTTTTGACTCACTTACGTCACATCTCTCCAACAGTTCGTCGCTTTGCGTTACGCTCTCCACATTATACTCTCCAAGCCCCCATCGTCCTCTCATCTGTTCTTCCCCACTTCCGCCGTGGCCGGAAAAAAGAGCTTACAAAGCAAAAAGTTTAACAACTTGAGCGCAAATGACTTTGGCTTGTAAGCGGCTCGCTACAACAAATACACCACGGAATTAGACTAAAATAATAATAGCAACAACAAGCAGAAAAGAACCTCAGCAACCCTCAGCAGCAACTAAAGTGTCATCCAGCACATACCCTGTACACAGATCTGAATCATTCATTTCTGCAAATGTTCTCATGAATATGTGCTGCCCTTAATTCTGATATGTATCGATTTAATGAAGAAAAAATGAATAAATTTGTACTCAGTTCGATCTGAGCATTTAGCATGTCAAATTTGAAGTCTCTGTACGCACTCCGGGATACAGGGTATGAAAGACAACAATATCAACTTCTTAAGTGGAGCAACTGCTGAAACTTAAGTAATTAACACAAGTTGTTTGCACTCAATGTAACTGACTAAGCAGGGAGGCAAATCCAGGGACGTGTCTGCAGGACGCATTTTACTACATTTCTCAGCAGTTCATATCATAAAAAGAATACTTCAATCGCCAGTGCTTGATACCAATACCTAGTTCTAGCATACACATGCCCATTGCCCAATTATTAAATGACCTGATGTCAATAAAAACATAATTAAGTTTCCTACAAGCGTGCTTCGTGCGGATTTCATTAATAAGCATACAATATGCTTATTTGGTTGTGATCTTTGCACTTTATTGTCTAATAAATCCCCATGCCATTATCTCGTCTTTATTTTTATTGTCATACTTACATACTTGAATAATATATATATTATTTAATATTGTTGATTTTTAACTGAATAATTTGGTATTTTTACAAGGGTTTTCGTAGAATTTAGAATTACTTTTTTCGAAATTGAATGGTGTTTTATTTATTTAATTAAATAGTCTGATATTTTTACTCAGATTAAATTGTCGGCGGCAGTGCTGTCATTTTAGCATTTTTCCGTACAGATTTCTCCTTTCACTTGAATTAGCCGAAATAGCGTTTGCTCCCTCCGAAAATCTATCCTAATCGGTCAATATAAATCAGCTAATGCTAAGGTATGGCTTGAATTTCTGTTAATTGGCTTAACATTTACAATTTATGAGGTTTTCAGTCTAATCTGACTGATAATTGTTAAACATTGATATGTTTTCAATTGAAAGCTGCTTACTATTAAACAAACACCACACTTCCAATTAGAGTTTCACCCCAAATGCAATTTAAATATTTAAATGGCTTTTCATTAAATATTTTTACAATCCAACTTTTCGCTTTTTTCTTTTTAATTTCTCATGTATTCGCAGCTGAACTGCTACAAACACACACATAAAAAAAGATGACAGGCAAATGTAATCTCTACTATTTTGTTATTTGCAATTCCCACAGCGGGTTAAGCTCAAAATCTATTGACATACCCAACTGCACCCTTAGAAAGCAGGCAGAGCCGGAAATATGTGTTTCTATTGATTTCATTCGACCAGTCTTTTTTAAAATTTTTTTTATATATGTTATTAACTTTTTTATATTGTGTAAGACAGAAATAAATTTGACAAGCGTCCTTAAGTTGTTTTAAAAAAAAGTAAAGCAAGCTAAACGACAATAAATATTTATATAAATACAATTAATAGCTCAATATAAATATACTTTAAGTTAAAATAGAAGTGTTGCCACTTTGCACATATGCATTGTATAAAACAATATTTAAATACGTCGATGGATCTCAACTATCGAAATTATAACATACGAGTAATTGGGATAATAATAAGAGTACCACTGGAATTTCAGCAATAAGACAATACAGCAATAATTCTAAGAAAGTATATACTTTTGATTATAAACCCGACGAAGAATGTTTTTGTAATGTTTTCATATCATTGTATTAACCAATTGGACAATTATGTTTGTGCTTTATCATCCATACATACCAACAGGAGCCTGATTATTAATAATTTATGTGCTTCTATGTCTTCAATTTCACTATAGGAATTATGTGAATCTGGGATATCATATTCTTCAAGTGAATCCAACTCTGCTAAAGTATCTTTTGTCATTCAACAACCTAATCGATAAAGTTTTAGTTTTTTTCCTACTGGAGGAACAATCTCTGAGAAACAGGGATTTAAATTGTGGATTATCATGAAGACGTTCATACTTTAAATGTTAATCAATTAGATACCTTTATATTTGTTTTAGCTGTTAAAAGTATGTTTCATCTAAAATAACTCTCAATATTATAACTTTTTATATAGGATCCATTGTTAACAATAACATTTTTCCATTCATTACTAATTTTTTAATTAATTTATTTAACTTTGGCAATATCCGATTTCAGGGACTATAAGAGCTAGAGACTTCAGATTTAGCATAGAAATTCACGTATACAACGCACAGATCAAGTTTCTTTCATTTTAATCGATAATTCGTCTGACTCGTGAATATCGACATAACTTTAATTCCGATAACAAACGGCGCTCAACGTATTTAATAGCTGGCTTCAGGGAATCTCGTACTCGAGTTCTCGTTTGACTACAGCATTCTAACATGCTTTGCAATAAATGTACATATTTTCCCGGTAGTTCTCCTTATTTTTACAGTCGAGACCTTTTATCATCCAAACTAGCTTCAACACTATGGAGTTTATGGGCTTATCCACTTCTTCGACAATTTTTATCAATCTTGGTAAAAATAAACCAGTAATCTACCTTCGGGATCTAGACATAAAAAGAAAAATTTAAAAATAGTAAATGGTAAATAGCAAGTAGCCAAGTGGTGCATCAGTATTTACAGAGTAAGGACGCAAATATAGCCAAGCTGTTTGAACTTAAAGCCAAAGCGCTTACTGTTGGCACAATGTGGCATTTTGTTGCCCGCCAAATTTTATAGCGAGCGCAGAAGTTATTTTAGAATTAATTTTTCAAAGTGAATTCGCGTGAAGTGCGCATCGGTATGTGTTTTGTTGTCTCTGTGTGAATAGGAAGTAAGAAATATGTATATGAGCTCGGTTTTGGAGGGCACTGGGTATTTAGGTTTTCTTTTATTGCCGGCAATTAAATTAATAGACAATAAAGCTTTTGCATTTGCCGCCAGCACGCGCTCGCCAACGTTGCTGGCTTATGTTTTCATTTTCATTCTATCTTTTGTCCACTCAACGTTATTATTATTCCTGCACCGTATCTTTGCCCTCACTAACTATACCAATTTTGCAGGCGAGCATCCAGCAGCTATGCATCATGGCAGCTCCGGTTCTCTGGAGCCACCGGAACTGCTGCTATTGCTGCTGCTCTCGTGCGGATTACTGCTCTTTCTGGAGTTGAACGGGAATGGGTCCGGGTCCGGGACCGAGTCGTACATCTCTCGTCTCCCGTCCACCGACCATTCCTCACCCACTACTACCACCACCACAGCTAATATGACAACAACAACAACAGCAACAATAACAACTGAACTCGAGCAACGAAACAAGACCAGCACCAGCAACAAAACTAATGCCAATGCCAACGACATCTTCGCCGTCATCGCCATTGCCAACGTTATCGCTCCGGTTAGCTGCGCTGAGTTGCAGCTATCTGGAAATCAGTTGGAGTACGGCATGTTGCCGTCGGCGACATAGCTGACAGGCGCTGGCACAGCTGCCACAGTTGCAGTCTAAAAATGCAGAGACCCCATGGGAAGGACTTTCTAAGAAGCTAAGGACCTAAGTTTGTATTTTGTTATTTCGACTTTAAGATATGTTTATGATTCGAACCTAATACTATACTAGTGTATCGTTGGTTAATCTCGTTATCACTAAATTAAGAGGCCGGTTTGCATCAGGCGAAAAACACTGAAACGCAGACACTTTTATCAATTTTCTAAAAATACTATTATCAAATAACAGGAATTAAAAAAATAAAAATAAAAAGTAGTGAAAATGTTGCTTTGTGGCAATGACGCAAGTAAAGCCAACTACACTGAAATCCACACAGACCCACACCCAAAACATACCCAATCACACACACACACACAGGCACACCCACACATGAATACACACAAATTGTCAGCTTACATAAGGGCTACTAAATGTAATTTTACTATTTGCCATAACTTTAAATAATTGTCTAAAGTAATTTGTGTTAGTTAGTGTTTGTTTATTCGTCTTGTCTACTTTGAACTCTCAACAGGTAACGTACGATAAGCAAGCAACTAGCAACACACACCTACACACACTCTCACACACACACACACACACACTTACACACACGCACACACATACAAGTTAAGCTATAGATGTCTAAATATAAATACATACAGACATAGTATATGTATGTAATATAAAGACCCCAAAGGGAATCGACTTTTTTTTTGTCGTTGTTTTATCTAGGCTAAGCCCAAGACTATAGTAATATTTAAGAAAAGAGTTGCTGCAATAACTATGCAGCTTACATCACATACATACATAATATGCAAGCAACATACATACATATAGCTCATACATATGTATAGGCATATGTGTATATGTACATACATTGAAAATGTTTGAAATTGCATGCTGTAGAATCTTAAAATTGCTCTTCGGCTTGCCAAAGATTAAATACCCTTGCAGACAAAATTACCAAACAGGTTTTTTCTTATACAACAAAACCTTGCGAGTAATTCAGTTTTCAACCCATCGTTCTTGTTGCAGCTAAAGAAAAAAGGAAAGTTGTCCGCTATTGGTATATTTTAATGAAATCGACCAAACTCGTACGAGATAAAAAGCTTTGTATCCGACCGATTGTTCCTACTACGGCAATGACAACTTTGTGATCAGACCCGGCCGGTTTCAACACATATATATGTATATATGTATGTACATGTAACTTTTTTCTAGATTGTTTATTTTGGCTGAGGCACTATTTATATTTATATTTGTATATACTTTATGGATTTGGATTTTCGAAATGCAATCAATGGCTGCTATTAGTTATAATAACCACTGCAAGGGTATGAATATAGTGCACTCCTGAATGGCCAAGTATGTATAAAATGTAAGTGATTAATTTTATCATTTACTTTTTTTTATGCACTTATCGTAGGTAATTTAAATACCGTAAGTTTGGCGCGCGTTTTCATATGTAGGACGTTTACATATGTATTTGAGTGTGTAAATGTATTAATGTATTAATGTTCGCTTGTAAGCAAAGAGAATTCAACACACACACACACACACATGAGAAACATGATTATTGTCAGGATAAGCAACTACCCATACTAAATACAGCAATTTATAAGTACTTATGTAAGCATTTATCTCTCACTCTTTCTCTCTAACTCTCCCTCTCAAACCTCTCTTCCACTCTCTCTCCCTTTTGTGGCTTTCTACTTCTCTATGTCATTCGGAGCACTTTGCAAAGGAGCAACGTGTTTTATATCACTTTCAATCTATGTCACGTAAAAACACACTTGCTCGTTTATTAAGTGTTAACTTATGGGAATTTGGCCAAGCTAAAAAACAAAAAAAAAGAAACGATGGATAGTCCCACCCCAAATTTGGGTTTAACCCAAACCAAGTCCTAGCCACAATAGCCAACAAGCCCAATTTATAATATTTTAAAAAATTCGCCCAATCGCAAAAAAAAATGTTCACTCTACAGAAAGTACTACATACTATAATAAAATAATGCATAAATTTAGTACATAAATACAACATATATAAGCAAAACCAAATCAAATAAAAAATATTCAAAGCTCGAAAGTATATTTAATAAATGTGATGAACGTCTAGCAAATTTCAAGCTTATTCAATAAAACACTAAACAAAAAACCGATGACCAAAACATCAATGATAAGCGCGCGCGAGATAAGCACGGCGATAAATTATAGCACACACAGACACAAATACCATTTATGTATATGTATGTATAAGTTTCGATGCATTTCAGTGTTGAATAAGGAATATCCTTAAATGCTCTCTCCATAAGTAAAAAGATTTAAGAATTCTAGTCAAAAATTACTGGGTAGTAAATACGGTCAACCCCAAAGATAACCTTGACTTACCAAACGCATTTCGAATTATTTGCATCCAATGTTTTCAGTTCAAAGCAGCGTTTTGGACAATATTCAAAATCTAAATTACTATATGCTTAGCATTGAGTATCTTTGAATAAGTTGTTTTCAAAAATATGACCAAAAAAAGTGCAGACAAATTGATTCTCACGACTCCGCAATACTCTGTTCCCAGTGATAAAACAGCTAAGCACAGTTGAAAAATTTTCATCTATAAGTGGGAATCAATATTTTTGCCCAAATTTTCTGCTGCATATGTGACCAAGAATATTGGTGACTCTTCTTCCAAAAAATTTGGGCGACTTAGATTCTCACTATCTGTGAAGAGGAGCGGAACAGTCAGGGAAATATCTGTGCATTTTCTCAGAAGCGGATAAAAAAGAGCATAATTCTATTTAAACCAATCTTAAGGTCTCTAGCTACTAGAATACTGAAAAACCCGCTTTCATACGGACAGAAGGACAGACAGTGAGATAAAACCAATTTGCTATTTTTTCCCATTGGGAATAGAGTATATATAGAATGAAATAAATGACACAACTTTTTATTGTATGTATAAATAAGGTGAAAATAAAGTCCATGTTGAGAAAGCTAAAAACTTTAAGTATAAACTAAAACACAATTAAATAATACTGGCATTAATATATAATCTATAAGCCATAATTTCATATATGTTGAACACCATATTTTTTTTGGTAGAATTAAACTCAAAAAGTATAAAATTGCTAGAAAATGCAGAAAAAAAGTTTAAAAAATAAATATGTATGTTTAAAATAAGCATAAAAATTGCATAAATGATAAACAATTTAAATGTGGTTAAATAAGAATAAATACAGAATTCATAAATGTTTGCAAAACAGAAAAAATTTAAAATACAAAAAAAAAAAAAATAATAATAATAATTCATAAATACATACACATATTCAGATGGCTTGCCGATTCATAAAACAAAAAAGTTAAATTTGAAAGAAATTTAAGAAAAAAGTAAAATTTGAAAGAAACTTATGTTTTTTTTTTCAATTTAAATTAAGTGAAGTATTCGGAGAATATTATTAGTACTTAGGTTCGGGCAAAAATATAACATGAAAATGAATGAGAACAAAACAAAGAAGATTTAAAATACAATTTCAATAAAAGTGTAAAATTACAGATAAATGTAAAAAAATGTGCGTCTTGTTTTAATAAATGGAAATGGAAATTATATGTTTATAATCGAGTAGGTGTGAATGATACGTCGAATATGTTTGAAAATATGTTCCAGATGGTCTCTACGATGGCTTATCAACTTCGGGTATCAAATCAACTGCAAATTCTACCGCACATCCCATTATTTAGACGACGGGACTTATATTTAAGTACATGTAAGTACACTAATGTGTATGTATATGTGTATATGTGTGCATGTATTTAATGTATACACGTTTCGCCTGCAAATAATGAGACTGTCAACTGGGCATTAACATTTTTGGCTTAGGTGTTGAATACCATCAAATACACATACATATACGTTACGCACATAGAAGGAAGCAGAATTAATAATGTGCTGACGAGGAGGACATTAGCTGTCAATTAGTGAGAAGCCCAAATTTAAAGACAAGCAATTAAATACATGAATGTGTTCATATTCATGGCAGTGCAGAGGGAAAGTGTGCTTTTTTAATGTGCCGAAACCAAATTTGCATTCTTATTATCTGAAAATAACATATACTTATATATGCATACATTAATATACGACGTTTTTTATTCGTTTCCTAAACAAATAAAGCGAGAATAAATAAAATGAAAAAATCTATATCTCAAAGACTTCAAGACCTCAAAACCTTAAAACCCAACCAACTATTATTGTACCGGGAAACGAGCATGGATGCTATCTGTCAATGCGTTAAATTAAATACATTTAAATGGGTATGCCGAAGTGACAGCAAATAAAAGAGTTTTTCTTTTAGTTTTTAGTTACAGTGGACCTTTTGTGGCAACGCCCAAGCGGCAATCCTTTACGGATAAGCAAATAATCCACTTATAATTAGCAGTAAAAAAAGAGGGAGAAATGTAAAGAGAAAACGTTCCAAGTTGACAACTACAACAACAACAGCAGCGGCAGCAGCAGCAGCAACAACAGCAACAACTGTAGCAGCAAAGGGTGTGCGGGCAAGCGACCAAGGATAACAGACAGGCCGCCAAGTGGTTAATGTTGAGCAAATTATTAAATTGCAGAGCGCACGCAGCGGGGGAGAAAAGGCGTGCGACTAGGCCATAAAAATATTAAGTAAGCAAGGGGCGTGTTAATTTATGGCCAACAAATATGTTTGGCAAACGTAAAGTGGAGGCGACCAAAGAACGCTGCCTACAAGGGTCACAAGCTGCCAAGGCCTAGTGCTCGAAGATGAGGTGGCGGTTGGAGGTGGTTGGGTGGCAGCGGTCATGGCACGATGGGGCGGTGAGGCTGTATGCGCTTAGGCTCGCTTAAAAAGTTGTAAAATATGTTAAAATACTTGGACGGTGCTAAAAATTAGTAAGCATGCAAAAAATTAAACAAGCGTAAATAATAAAAGAAGCACCGACAAATGGGTCGACAAGAATTCCGGGCGCAAAGGACCGGCTAGGGGTGGCTGGCCACATTCAAGCAAACCAACAACAATAGCTGGGGATACACACCGAGAGAGAGAGAGAGAGAGAGAGAGAGAGAGAGAGAGAGAGAGAGAGAGAGGGGGATAGAGAAAGAGAAGCTGCACTCCCAAATAAACTGAAACGAATTATAAAGGAACCCAATACAACAAAGGAAAGTTTGTCAGGTGACTCGATAGTTGAATGCAAACACAAATAAATGTATGTGTATTCATCTATATATTGTATAAGCACACATTTATTTTGCTCAAAGACTATAAAAGGACACATTTCTATAAAAGATTAAATACACTGCTGCATTGTGTTGGACATATTCTTTTAAGTATTTCAAGAGTTCATATACATCTCACAGACAATTAACTTAACGCTTGGTGTGCGGGATGGATTATAGTGCAGGTGTAAGAAAATTAAAAAGGATTATGTCCATTGCGGTGGCACAATGAGCCTGTACATGGGTCGATGCGGGCTTACACCCCCTCTGACCGCCGCCTCAACATAACTTATTGCTATTGTTCATCTGCAATCGATCGGGGCTCGCAGAAATAAATCAATATCTAAGATGAACTGACGAATGACAAGATCACACAAG